ACCCGGCATAGAAGTGTGGCGATTACTGGAAGTGTTGCTAGTGCTGCGTCGTCAGGTCCATAGGCAACAATGAAAGCTGGAAATGGGAGACAATAACCAAAGAATCTAGACAACAGCGTTACTTTAAATTACACTACTTTCCCTATTTTTGCGCGGGTGGTTGTTCTATCCATGTCTACCTGCGCACAGCTGACGCCTACCTGAGGGATGCACCTACTCGCTGGAATCGATCCAAACACCGAGCGAAGATGATGGGCCCGACACGGCTTATTGATGCACTCGCGCAAGCACCGCTACTAAGGTACAACCAGATAAGGCAGCGAAGCATATTGCATCCGCACATTGAAAGATGTGTACACATGGCGCACGTCCATGGCCAAGAATAATTCATTATCGTACATATTTTGTTAAATATGTTTGAGGGTTTAGTACGCGAATTCCAATGATTCCGATGCACAAAATAACGTACCATGAAGAGTAGTCAAGTTACAACCCGGACAAGCATGAAATGAACTCCTGATAATACCAAGTGATAACCAATGGCAACGCACATATTACCGGAGCTGCTGGGTTAGAATGCTAAAGGATAGCACACGGCTAGGACTATTAAATGTGCAATGTGTCTGACTTTATTCTGCTGATAATGCAGGTTGCCGCTGACGACAGATGCCCGATTTACGTAGTACGCAGATACCACACTTTGAAGGGGATACACTTCAACCCAATCTATTTCGCTACATACGTGTCCTCGCTCGTAGGAATTTTCAGAATACTAAGAAAATTGATTCGTGCACGTCAAGATTGTTCTATTTCACTTATGCTTCACCTTCTCAGGTGAAGCAACAATTGACCTCGCTAGCACGCCAACGGAAGAATGCTGAATATCCTAAGTTAGAAAGATTTATCCGTCTTTGCAGCATCCGCGTCTGCTACAAACAACCCCTCTCGTGTAGTACGTCGTCGCGTGAATAATCAGCATGATTCCATGTGTGCCAGTTTAACTACATGTTCATGATAGAATGACTGGAGCTTGCTATGGTATACCTTAAGACTAGACATCTGATTTACGCAGCACAGATAGTGAGCGAGCACAAACCCGCGCCCGTAAGTTGTTCCGTACACGTAATGAAACGTATTGACGCGCATCAGCCCCGCCAATCGCATAGCTGGATTTCCGGATCTAACAAACCCCACACGGGATCAGACCAATGGAGTAGACTACACTCGACTCTCCTTAACAGTACACGCCCGATGCAGAAGCTTCCGTCGCGTGAATTACGACTTAAAATCACTTCTCGTCACGCTCGTGGCGGACCTGACCACGCCGGTCTCTCCCCACTGCCTTCTCGCAGTTGCTCCGCGGCCAGCATGCATATTCTCTCCCAGAACGCGCAATCGCTAAATCCACGTTATCTTGCTAGACCTCCAGTCATAAACATACCATTTCCGATAACGCTTACGTGAGGGTTGCGACCCGCGTGGCCTCCTTGCCGAACAGACGGGTGGAGCCCCATCTCGCGGTACTTGAAGTAACTGCTTCCTATGGCGGCTTGAACGCGTCTTGTGTGAGCTCACTGACTTGCGCACGAGGCGCTCCGTCGTGATGCCCTTGTCCGCGTCGGGCGAGGGTTTTGGTGCTATCGAGAACAAGCGCCTTGTCACAGGCGGACGGCGCCACCGGCACACGCCGGCCTGGGTGTTCGCATCGGCAAGGCCAATGATGGATGTTTGCCACAAAATGTTGGCTTAATTAGTGCTGCACAAATATAGTCTAAGCTGTTATAGCATTTTGTGTGTTCACATTTTCGGAGTGACTTGATGTCTTACTCAGCTCTCATTGGCTTCTTCCCATCTTTGACCTTCAACTCGGTGTACAGGCATAGAGTGGCCACTCGTGCCTCTCTATGACTGTAGAGAGGCCAGATTTATTTGTGCTGCTACAGTAACGTCTTGTGATGCTGAGACTTTTTGATGCTGCAGAGACTTTATAGTGCCGAAACGTAGTATATTGTGAAAGTGAGGCGCTCGTCGCCGCCTACATAAAACGGTTTAATCGCAATGTTTTGGTGGCCCCTTTAATCGAGAAAGCGTGAGGCGCACACGTACAGATATGAATATCCCACAAAATCCAACAGCACACTAGTAGCAAAGGGACAGTCACGGCTAGACTTTCTGCTTCCCCAAACGCTTCTTTAGCGCTGCATCGGAGTCTCATCCCTAACTCACTGCGCCACAATGCAGTGACGTGAATGTAAATCAAATGTACATGTACATAGGCTGTGCAGTTGGTGGCGCCACACAGAAATCCTCATTTCAATCTTGCCAACACTACCGTCAACGACACGTCTCGGCACTGAGCTGCGCTCTGCTTTCACAAGCGCACGTACTATGCCGGGGCTTGCTGCCTCCGAGCTGCTTCCTGCCAGCCAGTATGCCGAGGATACCGTGGGGTACTACTCTATGGCGTTTGTAGCAGGCGATCCGCGAGGACATCGCGTAGCATTCGTCCTTCGAATCGAGGAGGAAGCTGGCGCAGAATATCCAATCGTGGTGGACACTGGCGAGTTGACTTCACGACATCTGATGCTGAAGCTATTTGTAGACCGGTTTGGGAACCGGTTCAAGCCAGTATATGCGCTTTAGCGCAAGTTACACTCATATACGTTGATTCCGGGGCAATATTCCGGTACTGCGCAATCCAGCGCCTTCAACAATGTTTTGCCGAGCATTATGCAAGGTACTATGGGGTTCGTGATGCGTGAGCGTCGTGGTGGGTGTGAGGAAATAGCGTCGAAGGGCTTATATCTCGACGAGGAGTCATATGAGGTGGTGGCGACAAATGAAGAAGGTGCTAAGACCGTAATAAAGTCCAGCATTTCACCAGACAGTGTTAGCGCTGGAATTATTAATGAGAACAATGCGAGTTCATTCAATGGCCGTAGTGGATGCGAGGAAAAGGGCGCTACTTCCGGTTCTATGAAACCAGACGACCCGAAGTCACCCATCGAGGTCGAAAGGGGGTCCAGCACCTCTCAGACTTTCGATAACGGGCGCGACGAGCTGGTAAACAGAGAAACGGCTGCTAAAGGGTCTATTCCGCGTGAGGAAACCGTCGCTCCAGATTCGGGAAACGATGCATCCGACGGTGAGATGCTCAATGCTGAGGAGTGCATGATGCAGATCCCGAATCAGCTGACCAGAGCCAAGCTCCAACATCAGGCAAAAAAGCGGGCAGGCTCCTGGCACGTCCCGCGCTCTCGCAAGCGCAGACATCAGATGAAGTGCGCTTTATCGCGCAATTGGACTCAGATCCACCATGCGCATTCCGTTAAAGCCATCGCGATTGAGGTTCTTCTTAAGATTCCAGAAGTCAAGATGATATTGGCAAATTTACATGCTCGTCGACCTATGTATGAGGAGCCCGCAAAAGAAGGCTGTACATTGTTGACGGAGCACCCGTGGCCAGATGGAATCGAGCCTATTAAAAGTGTATTACCAACGGAGTCCGCTTCCCGACCTTGACCCTTTCCATAAGTGCCGCTGTGTCGGGGACTGTTTCTGGGACAGCTGTGACAACGTGGAGACGCGGTCCACTGCACCCGTAGCCGATGTACCTGAACGGCCGGTGCAGAAATGCACCTTGAGAGAGTAAGACACTGAGATTGTTTGACACTGGTCGAGTAGGCCTGGGCGTGTTCACCACAACCTTCCTCGACGTTGGTGACATGATTGGAGAGTACAGTTGGGAGCTCAGTGAGTGGTCCGCTTTGGTGGCGGGTCAGCCCGAGCAAGCCCGCAAGCAGAATAGCGCGTACACGCCAAACTACCGCACCAAATTGGTGAAGAAGAAGTTCATCTACGTAAATGCTGCAAAAGCGGGTCCATCACAAGGTTTATAAGCCACGCTTGTGACCCGAACGCTGTATTCGCTGAGATACAGAATCGCCGCAGCGTTTAAGTATGCGTGAAGATGATCAAATATGTGACGGCAGGCGCTGAGATAACAGTTAACTACGGAAACGAAAGACGGTTTGTCTGCGTTTGTGACAATGGCTCGCAAGGTGAGGTGAAGAATTAGGTGAAGGCAGCACTTTCGTGAGAAGTTCGTACTCGTAGCAAGACAATGTGGCTAACGAGAACACTTATCAAGCTCAAGGACTAGTGAAAATAGCTTCGGTGTCGGTGTTGGAAGCTTCTTTACCCAACGCTTTTAAAATGGTACTGCAATAGCTTCTTGAACCCAGCTACGAGGCTTTGGTCGCCCAGTACCGATTACGTCCAAGACTCGCAGGCAGACGGTCGATAAGTTATCGCCCGCGCCGGTAGTGTGCCTATAAGACAACACGACCTATTTATTAATTTGCGTTTCTGTTTCGTTCCTATTTCGTTCGTTAACGAGCGAGCTTCTCACGTCCACGTCCTCCTGTACGCCGCTGCCACAACGACTCCACCAGAGTCTAGGCCGTCGCTAACTTAGCCACTCGGACCTTACGCCGCAGGCGCCCGTCCTGCTTCAACGCAGCCCTTCAGTCAGCGCGCACAACCACTGTCGTGCTGTGCCCAGGCTCACTTCGCCGTTGCAACCACGCACACTCTGTCCGTGACCGCCGTCCACTCGTCCGCGCGTTCACCAGCCTCGATGCGTCCACCGATGCTGTCGTTCGTTCTGTGTCGAGGCTCGCCGTCCACGCTGCAGGCGTCTTCGGGCGACCTCAGTCCTTTGTTCGTTATCGAGACCCGAGCAGCGGGTCCGTCAACAGTCGTTCGTTCTTCTGTGTCGAGGCTCGCTGTCCACGCTACAGGCGTCTTCAAGCGACCTCAGTCCTTTGTTCGTTATCGGGACCCGAGCGGCGGGTCCGTCAACAGTCGTTCGTTCTTCTGTGTCGATGCTTGCTGTCCACGCTACAGGCGTCTCCGAGCGACCTCAGTCCTTTGTTCGTTCGTTTCGTGTCCCCGCCTGCTGTGGCGAGTGCACTTGTTCGTAGGCACGTTCGTTCGCTTCAGTTGCGTCTTGCGCCGCCGATTCGAAAGTGAGAGCCCTTAAGGTCCGTGTGGATCTGCGAATCCTCGTGGCTGCGGTTGTCAGCTGCTTCTACGACGCACGCCAGCGACTGCTCGCCGGGCTCCACTCTGCTGTCTTTCGTCTCCTTGGCCGCTATTGGCCATCGTATTCGTCCATCTCCGCAGGTCCAGGCTGCCAGACGTGCTCCAACAACGTCAGCTCCAGCTCCCGTCCTCGCGTTGTTCTTTCTGTCGTTGACCAGTTCGTACTGGCCGTCATCGTCGTTGTGTACCGTGCGTCTCAACCTATTACACGACTTCCTCATTCCACGGGTCTTCCACGACCTGTCCGGCGCGCTGCAGTGCGTCGTACTCATTGACTGAGACCCACCGGGTTTTTGGTCGTCCGTCCTTGGTCGTCCAAAGTCGTTCGTCATCATTTCTCCACCATGACCGCTCGCCAGTCGGCCGTAGTTCGTACTCGAGTGGGTACTGCCCAACTCGGTTGCGTCGTCTTCGTCGCTGCAGCTCCACCAGTCCCATCGTTCGAGGTTCCGGCTGCGTTCGTTCTCGCTGTTGCTTCAGCTCGTCTTCGCTTCGCTCCTGTTGTCGCTGTTCGCTCGCGAGGTGCTGCCGCTGCTCGTACAGCCGCTCGTTTCGCCTCAACATCGTTCCTCGTCGCCCTCTGATCTTCATCGTCCAACTGCTCCACCAAGTCTGCCGCCTGCTGCGGAAGAAGGGCCGTCGGATAATGATAGCTCACTAGAAACGACGTGTGGGCTATTATCGTCTCCGGCGGTCCAACCTTGTCTTCGTGCTCCAGCAGCCAATTTTCATATCCTGCTGGCTCTACAATGCGCATGGGGCCCATCCACTGGTGGACAAATTTCGTCGCCTTCTGTCCTCGAGGCGGGTTGAACACCCACACTCGGTCGCCAACGCTAAACGTCCGTCGCTGTCGTGTCCGTCGGCTGTAGTAACGAGCTTGGCGCTCCTGCTCATTGCGTCGGGCTTGTTCTGCACTGTCGTGGCTCCGTGCCAATGATCGTATCAATCGTTGGTGGTGCTCCATCAGATCACCTGCCTCGTGCGCTCCATCCGTCGCATCAATTCGTTGGGTGGCCGTAGCCGTCGCCCCATCATCAACTCGCTCGGCGTCAACGCCACAGTCGTGTGTCTTGCGGAGTTGTACGCGTACACCGCAAACTGCACCCACTGACTCCAGTCATCCTGTTTCTCGTCCGTCATGAACGTGGACACACAGTCCTTCCACGCTCGATGAAATCGCTCGACAAGTCCTATCAGTCGCGGTCAATAAGGTACCGGATTCACTTGTTTCGCTTGCAGCAGTTCCACGAGCTGCTCAATAACCTTGCCAGTCAGCTCGGGTGCTCCGTCAGTCAGCAACTCTCTAAAGGCGCCAAATCGTAGTACGATGTCGTTCATAATAAACATTGCGACGTTCTCTGCCGTGTGTTGCGTTACACTTCGCGCCACTGCGTACCGTGTCACGTATTCTAACGCCGCTATTACGAGCCGTTCGCCGCCACCTGCTACCGGGAATGGTCCAGCGATGTCCAGCGCCCAGCGATCGCCTACGTCTCCTCCTCGAATGCTCCTCATGGGTGGAATGACTTCTCTCGGTCTCGCTTTGCGACTGCCACACTCTGGGCAACCTCGTACCCAGTGTTTCACCTCAGCTTGCAGTCGTGGCCACCAATACAATTGCGCTACTCGTCCGTAGGTGTGCGGTCCGCGTAGATGTCCAGCCCATACCGAGCCGTGTAATTCCTTAAATACTACCGCCCACAGCGCGGGTGGTAATACTACTCGCCGTCCGTGTTTCGTGTTGATAGTCACGAGGTCATATGTCGTCTCGACCTTCATGCCTTTGTAGACACCGTCCGTCACCAGCTTCCGTACAAACTGGCTGCGCTTCTGTGCATGTCCGATCTCGTCGTCCGTCACTTGAAGTGTCGGTTCCCTCGGAACCAGCTCTTCGTCGTCTTCCCCCGCGTCTCGTGTTCTCGCACTCGTTGCCGTCGTTCGCTCCCGCATTGTCGGTTTCCGCATAGCCGTCTTCGTTGCGGTCGTCTCCGTCTCCGTATTCTCACTGCACATCCTCTCCGTACTGTCGTCCTCGTTCGGTAAACTCGTCTTGCGTATGCTCTGCACACTCTCCGTCGCGTCTCGCGCGTCCTGGTACTCGCACAGTTGTTCCGCCCACGTAACACGTCGCGTGGCTGGGTCTCCTGCCGGTACTGCCGTCGTTGTCACTTCTCGCGGCTTCGTCGCGTACGTATCCGTGTCACTGCGTGGCAACGTACTTGCCGTGCGCGCTGCTAGTCTTTCACTGCGTCGCGGTGGTACTGGTGTCACCACCGTCGCCGTTCTGCGTCGTTTCTTCGTCGTCATGGGCACTCCGTCACTCGCACCCGTCCTGTACGTCGTTACCGCCATTTCGTTCGTAGCTACAGTCGCCGTAGTCGTCACAGGGGCCATCCAGTTCGTGTCGTCCGGTACCGCCTGCGTCGTGTCACTCTCCGTCGCGTGCACTGTACTACTCGGGGCCAGATTGCCACTCCCAGTCGTCCTCGGCACTGGAATCGCCAGCTCCTCGTCGCTGTCTCCGTGCTTGTCGTCGTGATGCTCTGTCACTGGAGCCGTCTCTACCTCCTTGTCGTCGTCCGTATCGTTTGTCTCTGCCGTCCTAGTCATCGCCGGTAATGGTCGTCTCCCTACTGCTGCTAACACTGCCGCTGGCGCCCGCGAGAGAGCGTCGGCCACAACGTTCGTGGCACCCGGTCGGTACGCGATAGTAAACTCGTATTCTTGTAGGGTTGGTGACCATCTGTGCAACCTTCCTGCTAAATTCGGGCGCGTCATCAACCATTTTAGTGCGGAATGGTCCGTAACGATCTCGAACACACGCCCATACAAATAAGGTCGAAATAGCTTAATCGACCAGACCACCGCCAAGCACTCGAGCTCGGTGATAGAGTAGTTCGACTCCGCTGTGTTGTTCACCTTACTAGCGAATGCAATGGGTTGCCAGCCTTTGCCCTGATCTTGCATTAGGCAGGCGCCCAAGCCAACTTTACTAGCATCTGTCGCAAGTCGAAAAGGAAGTGCGAAGTTAGGGTAGATAAGCAGCGGTTTCGTGGTCAGTGCCGCCTTCACTCGTTCGAACGCGAACTGTTGCTCCTCTGTCCACTGCCATTTCGGTATATTTCTTGAGTAGTCGAGTCATTGGGGGCCATTATAGATTCGGAAGCGCTTCGATAAATCTCCTGTAGTAGCCAGCGAGGTGTACAAACCTCTTGACCTCTACTGGGTCCTTGGGCGTCGGGAACTCCGAGACCGCCGTGATCGAGCGGCTCTACTGGCCGAACACCGTCGTTGCTGAGCTCGTGTCCAAGGTACTCCATCGAACGCGCCGCAAACACGCACTTCTTGAGTTTAAGCGTGAGCCCGGCTGTCGATAGTAGTTCTAGTACAGTAGCCAATTGCACTAGATGTCTCTCGATTCCACCTCGAGTGTATACCATAATATCATCCAGGTACACTAGACATGAAGTCCACGTCAGGCCACGTAGCACTCCGTTCATCATCCGTTGAAAAGTCGACGGCGCATTCATAAGACCAAAGGGCATGCGTTTAAACCTGTAAAGCCCTTGTTTAGTCGTAAATGCCGTCTTATCTCGATCTTCCGGCGCCACTCCTATTTTTGTCTGTAGCCGGAGCGAAGATCCAGTGTCGTAAACAGCAACGAACCACCGAGCGCTTCTAGCGTTTCATCGATTCGGGGTTGAGGGTAGACGTCACGTTTAGTCACCTTATTCAGAGCGCGGTAGTCAATGCAAAATCTGACTTCTCCGTCCTTTTTGCGAACAAGGACAACGGGGGAGCCCCAGGCTCCGTTACCTTCTTCAATCACTCCTGCTCCCAACATCTTAGCCACGTTGTCTTCTACAATGGCGTCTTCGGCCTGAGCTTGCCGTCGTCTTTTGAGCATGATTGGCGCACTGCTTCCGGTGTCAATATGATGATGCACGTCCAGCTTCGTCACCGGTGGGCAATCGCCCGCGCTCGTCGCTACATTTCGATATGCTCGTAGAAGTTTTAGCACTAATGCACGTTCATGATTCTCGTCCGTTCGTATATCGGCTTCATTCTCGTTATCCAGTGGAGTCGCCGCGTCACCAAGCGTCTCCAACCATTCGCCCAGCCGTTCATGCCCCAGTTCGCCGTTCAGCTTTAGAACGTTCAGGTCCGCATCAAGCGGTACCCACTTGCCTAATTCTTTCTCACTCGGCAGCTTCGTCTTGTCACCACGCATGTTGATCGCAGGGACCAACGCCTTGCCGTTCCTCACAGTCGTCACGGTCGCAGCCAACAGCACTGCACCGCACGCATCATTTGGCACGAAGATGCCTTCTTCACCGTCCGTTGCAGCAACCGAGATTTCCACCGGTGTAACTGCGTTCCTTACTAATCGTGCGCGTCGAACTAGTCTCACCGTCGCTACCGTGGGCGTCCCATCAACACCATTCGTTCTAAACGGAATCACCACCAGTTGCTCACGCTCGTAGTATCTGATCTCGTGCTGTTCGAAATCCATGTTAACTTTATGTTTCTTCATGAAGTCTACACCGATGAGGAATTCGTCAGTGCAGCCCTCGATAATGTACGCCTTCACTTGTACTAGCTGACCAAATGCATTGCGCATCTCGACCCTCCATACACCGATGACATCTAGGAGAATCCACCGATTCCTTCCACGTAGTCGACAGGTGCGGGCGCCACGAACTCGATCTCCACGCGCCATACATGCCGTACCAGCCACAGAGTATCTGGCACCGCTATCCAGCTTGACTTCGTAACGGGCCCCGCTCACGTCCATCAGTGCTGTAGGCAGACCATCGTCGGCCGCCACTACTGCGTCTTCAACCTCAATGCTCGTCACTTTATCGTCCTGCGCCCGTTGCACAAGCCGTACCTGCGCGCACCGCTCTCGTCGTTGAGCATGGGTCTGGTCTTCACACCGTCGTCGGTCTTGGCGTTTCACCAACCCGCGCTGCGCCTCATCTGCTTGCTGTCGTCGTCGTACCTGCTGCTCTTCGTCGAGTGCGGCTACCAGCACACTGACTTCGTCGCCCCCGGACGCAAGTTTGCGTTGAAGTGCTCGCTGCGCACGTCGACGCTTCGCGTCACGTCGAGCGCGCTTTACCACCGTCCGGACCTTCGCAACACTGCCCAGATCCGTTAATAACTCGTCCGTCAGCTCCAGCCCGAGCTGCACGGTCGTCATCGATTCAGCATTTGTCGTCTCTGCCGCCACGCGCTCTTCAGGCACGTCCTCGCCGTCGTCTGTTCTCATCGCCGCCACGCCATCCTCAGACGCGACTATATCGTCGTTCTTCGCCTCGTCGCCTTCCCCAGTTGAAAGTCGCCGCCCAGTCTGCGCAGCTCCATCTCTCACTGCTGTTCTAGCGCATGCGTATCGAAGTGCGGCCATGGCGGGCCGTACCGTGTCTACGTAGCACCGTGCACGCCACTCGTCTTGCTCTCTAGCTTCTTCACGTAGTCGTGAGCGCAACAGTGCTTCCTCGTCCAGAACATCGTCGTTCCGTGTTTCGTTCTCGTCGCCGAGTTTTTCTCGCCGTTCTCGATCAGCGTCCGGTGTCGTCTCTTTG